TCTGACTCCTCGCACATCAGTTGTATTTCATCTATACACCTGTAGGCTGATGGTGTCTAACGGTAACTACTTGTTGGGTGACTCCCTACCAGGTCAGGGCTGATCAATGAAACCAGTCATCTACAGACAAATACCTGCTGAGATAAACAGCCATTTTGCGAGCTGCACATCCCATAAACATTATATTTTGCATCATAGTATATTTTATGTAGTCTAAGATTCTGGACAATGGAAAATGGTGAAAGTTCACCAATTCTTATTTCAAATCACCTATTAGCTAGAAAATTTGTGCTATAAAATTATTTACAAAATTAAAATGACGGGGGCCTCAGGCCCTGGAGTCGTTGTGCCTGGAAAAATAAAATAGAAAAATTAAATTTGTATTACAATGTCTGCCAATCCCGTGAAATTGCGCCGATTGCCCTTAAATTTGGCAGCATTAAGGGTCTGTGACTGACATCCATACTACGGATGCTTTCATAAAGGGAAGTCCGTTTATGAAGGTAGCGGGCGCGACGCAGAGAGACGAACATATTTCTAAACAAATATAAACAATGCAGACTTAACTAATTGAAGCAAACAGAAAACAGCTTCATTCGTGACCGATTCACATGTACATCAATCCCCCGCCCCCAAATACAATAAAACAACAACATAACAGTAATGAACTCTGTATTTTGCTTGCTTGTTCCAGTTCTTTATCTAGATTCCTAAGATAGCTCTTCTAAATGAGGGTTTAACTAACGCTTTCCGTCCTATCCTTTCTCCATCTAATTACAATATGGATATACTCCATTAATAATCTGTCCCACGACATTGTATTGATATTGCAAGACTGAGGCTGTATTGAAGCCATTACTGATATATTGCAAGGAGAACGACTACGTGCAGCCAGGCATTCTTTAAAAAAACAGCACTTGAAGCTCTGGCAGAAACCTCACCATCTCAAACAATGGTAAATTGTGAGGAAATTAAAAATGGTGCCCACACGGGATATCAACACCGTCACTAATTAAGGCAGGAAAGGGCATTTGGTTTTGGAGAGCGTTGATCGAAACATAACCGTGCGTATATGTATCACGCTTCCTTTTAACAAATGATTTTTGAGGCATTGTTTGAATATCGAGCCTCCAAGAGAATAAGGGGATTTGTTACAAATGCTAGTACCTGTTACTTATATTTACTTAACAACTATGATTGTTTTTTTATATTTAAACATATATTATAAGGGACAATGCACTTGAAAAGAACAGAATAATGCCATAAATGCAGTTTTAACCTAAATAAAAGACTTTTTTATCCTGGAAGCTACTTAATGCAAGTCTGTTACATCTGATAAACTACTATCACGATCGGCTCTCCTTCAGAGGTGACATTGATATAAATAGACAGATAGCCAGTAAACATACAGATTCAAATTGGAGTATTCCCAAAAAGAAGCTGAATTTATTCGTGTTAGAGATACTTTACGTCCTGTCTTTAGTTTTGCACTTAACGGGCGTAAAAATGACCTTGATCTCGAAAAAAAAAATGACCATCGGGATCTCAGACATACTTTTCACCTCAATGTAAAATCCTTTTATCAATACTTCGTATGGTATTCCTTTCTGAGAGCAAAAGCAGCTATGCATGCATACTATTTTTAAGGACAGCGATGATGCAAACAGAAGTAGTACCAGTGTTCCTAAACCAATTTAAATCACTTACCGGAATTCATTTGAATAATTTAATTGAAATATTGAAACTTAAATATTGAGTTTCTCAATTATCAGTATCTTCTCGCGACAACACAGACAAGGCGCCATAAGCATGCATACAATGGAAAAAAATGCTCGGTTAAGACGTAAAAGACGTAAAAATATTACATTTTGACCTTGAGAAGATAATCAAGAGATGAACACATTTAACACCTATTGTCATTTCCGCGTACAAATATCAAATCTATTAAGAATTGCAGCCAATAATGAAACTAGGAGGGTATATACTAAGATACTAAAGTACCAATCGACATCTTCTCCTTAACATGATGCTTTTTATTAATGCACTTATGGAAAAGAATATGATATTTCTTATTCATCGATACGATATTGTAATGACCAATCTGTTCTTAATAAGGACTATACACGTTTCACGATTAAGAGAGACTTGACGATCTTAGAAATGCAATTATTCAGAAAAGGACCTTGGAAACCAATCGAGCACACCTGCATATCGATAAGATATCATTTACTATTATTCTCATATTCCACTAAGGAAACAATACTTCTCAACAAGAAGTTTTATTCTATATCTTTTCGCCGTGACTGAATATAATTGCGAAAGAAACTATTAGAATGGCAATAATAGAAAATTTACAATATTATCATCAAATGATGCGTGTTGCTTTAGTGGGGTTTGCTTTTGGAAATAATGCTATAAATATGAACATAATGATATATCATTAAACTGGCATATCTTAGGTTCCATTATCAATTCACTGGGTAGTACAATATTTGCATTTGGTCGATGTTCGTTTTTCGAGAAAAACGCCATTTCTTGAAGATCGATATTGATAGTTTAGTGGTAGATTAGACCATATTCAAACTGAGTATCAAAGAAAGATCCATTGGACGATGTTCCCTGCACAAAAACCTCAAAATAGCCAGCATAACCTTTATGATCCTTTATGTAAATCATAGCCTACAGCGATCTCTCGCTTATTGTTATATAATAGGGTTGCGCTTTACTAACCGTTTAGATGTAAAATTCGCGGTGATGATGTTACACTGCATCATAGTGTATGCCACAAGTTGCACTGAGATGAGAAATGAACATGCCTCCATAGCAGACGACAGAAGGCACAGGCACATACTACAGTATATCAGTGATAATTCCTATAGGCGCAACATGTAACTCGACCATGGGATTCCACAGATATACCATGCATTTTTATTACTGAATATCTTACAAGTTCGCAACTTTTTTTTTGGGGGGGGGTGGGGGGGGGAGGTGGAAATTAAAAGATAAAAACGCTCTTCATGTGCTAACCCTGAAGCAGTAGACTAATAAGCGCCTATAAACGGTAGATTTAACCGCGCTTCATTATAGGATATATGTCGTCAAGGAGTGATACATTTTCAAACCTGTGACAGTAGTTTCCCATATTGAAGTGATACGTCAATTTACAAAACACAAATTGTTAAGTTGATCGCGTCTTGCTCAGCAACGCATATTTCAAAAAAAATATAGGAAAAGCTCAATAAACCCTATCTTAACAATTATGACGGAAACGAACGTTCATTTCTTGAGCTTAAAATAGTGAAGTCATTTCATTTCAGTGTTGTGCCACTGTGGTTTGTCTCTGGAAACCACTCTATTATACAAGCCCCAAGACTCGTGTAAGGAACAGGGGTAGTAACCAACTGGGTGTCATTACTGGTCCTTACCTATTTTGGTGCAGTGTATGACAAACACAATTATCTAGATCTCAGTGTTTTTTTTTTTTTTTTCATTTCTAGTAGATTGGACATTATTAATTTCAAATATAGAGTTATAGTATTTAATAAAAGTTCTATGGGAGATTCACATCCTAAATCTTTTCCTCGGGCAACTTATATCTCTTGATCTTATGGCTACGGCAGCTATAGAAGAGGTTAAGCCTTTAATTAACCCCGGCCAAGGCCCACTGGAATTAATCCCATGTCCAAAGTTACCGTGTTTCAATGACAGTACACGGTAAAGACATGTAGACGGGGTCACAGACATCACATTAAAAGACACACTTTTATCACAGTGAATTCACATGTAGACATAAACTCGTTGTTATATCACACAGCATTAGGAGAAGCCTATCTGTAAATGGCACACATGAAGTACATAGACGTCTTCACTTTATTACATTTAGATTACATAATTCCAGGCCATGTAGAGGGCAAAAAAGAAGAAATGCGTCTAAGGGGTTAAAGTGAATCAACTTGATACAGGTGTTCTATTTTCTTGTCTATTTTCTACATTTGAATTCACCAAACACATCACTTGCAGATCGCCTCTGCACGCACGCACACGTACATACACACTATCACATGAAGACGAATGCACACATATATGATCTAATTTACTGTATGTATTTTATAATACAGTGTTCTTATTAGAGTACAAGTGGCCGTTTTTTCTGGAAAGATTTCTGAGCATCAATCAGATGTTATCTCTTTCTTCTTCTCCCGGCCACTAATCATCAGATTTCAACTCTACACAATCAATTTACAACGAGTGTAGCTGTCGGAAGCGGTCAGTGTTTGCCTGATGACTTTCGGACTACTGAATCAGGCGTTTGATTGCTGAATTAATCGAGCAACACACGAGAAGAAGAAATATCCGCGTGTTTAGGTTGAGCAAGGTCGGTGGTATACATGTAGCTTACACCCGTCACGCCGTGGTATCCACCCGTTGATTTGAAGTTTATCTGAGCATTCTCCTAACAAGGAAAGGTGTCATTAGAAACTCGAGGGAAAGGTTTGGGGTTTTCACCACACACGTACAGATACTCATGTTATAATGACTGAGTTAAAACCTAACGTATTACATTTCCGTGAAATCCATGAACGAAGAGTAAAAAAGGATAAGGCTGTAAACAATAAGCAAGTTTCTTAATTGACATCTAGTGAGCCCGAAAATGTGTATTGGAGATATGTTAAGATACTCTGATGTTAATGTCGTGAATCTTGCAGAGTATCGAATTTTTTGCATTAATAAATCAAACATCCAATTACGGTAGGAACAGCATCCTTAGATCAGCTAGACAGTAATGACCAAGTGTTGTTTCTCAGTGGACAGTAGATGTGACACGTGCAAACAGGGTAAATTCATATTTCTAGTGATTTTTTATTATCATTTACCTGTTCAACAAAGGTGATGATTTGTCTTTGGACTGTTTTTGTGAAATAAAACCTATCCAGCGACAAGGAAAAGTGGGAAAACAAACGTAAATATGCAACTATACATGTACAAATACACATACTCACCGATCACTATGGTCATCAGGTCTGAAACGGCCAAACTGAACAAATAGTAGTTGGTCGCCGTATGCATACAATTATTCCTGGCTATAACTATGCACGTGCATACGTTTCCCACAACTCCCGTTACGAAGATAGTACAGTACACTATAGTCAAAACGGCTAAAAGGCCTTCATCCGTACTTCCACCAAACTTGGCTCGCAACGCTTCCTCTTTGTTAAACAATGTATAATTTGAAGTAAAATTGGATGCGTTTTTTGGCAACATAGTGGCTTCCAAATGGGGAATTGCGTGCACTGGTCTGTGCCACATATCTTTATCGTTATTCTTGTAAGAAATAAAGTCGTTGGACGACGGAAACAATACCGTTGCTGCAGAAGCGTTTTCCAGAATCACCGCTGCAATCCCTTTGGCAAGTCTCTGAGCCATAACTTCTCGACAGCTAATTCAATCGCTTTTATGGGGTATATACCGTTGGCCAGAATCCTGATTTCCTTTCGTTACACCGCATCTATCAATGCAGAAGTGAGCCAAGATTTATAAGAAAAATCTTTTGCTTCTCCAGAGTTCGTGCGTCACATGCAGTCTCTGTTAAAGCAAATAGTGAATTACTCGCTTTGTCGGCAGATGTTTCTTCTCTATGACTTACGCTGAACAAGCTTGGTGTTTTTCATCTTCGGTGCTATTCAGAAATTATGAGCAGGCATAGTCAGGAAAAGGTATAACTGCTTTACGTAATGAATTAGCTTTCAATCACAACAATATTGTTCACCATACTCGCACTGTTTCCCGTGAAGTTCCGTTGAGTTGCCTCGCGAAGTGACTACTGACACGAGTTGCTCGTAACCTGCCAATAGACACAATGCAATTAACCTTGTGCGAACCCAAGGCCTACCATTCTCTTTGGAAACATCTCGGTGAAAATAACATTTTGGCAAAAGTATATTCTTGGAATGCAGTTATTTTCCTTTTAAGACAAAGATGTATCTAGGAATCCAGTGCTTCTCCAGAAGTAGGCACAACATCCTCCAGTATAATGGAAATCACGAACTCACAATGATTTGTGTTTCATCCCCCGGTGCTCTTCATTTCTGTAAAAAACACTCTCACGTTTTTCTTCTCCAACCAAACACTGATCCCCTCCCCGTAAACCAATCGATCGTGACTGGAAGATGCAAGTCAATTCTGAATCATCCACAGTTCAGCGGGCAAATACTTCAAAATCGATGAAAATAAACCCACAATGAACTTTCCCTGTATGAACAAAGATAATTTCAATTTCGTCGCAATTCCTTTCGTTGTGACCCTCACTCCGTGTTTTTCATCAGCTCAACTGATCTGAATACTGGCGGCAATCTCGTGGATGCTCCAGCAGTATACTTGACGTCACATAATTGATATTTGCCTGGAAAGACTACGGGACCCATACATTGTAGTTTTACTCTACAGTCAGCGTGATGAGATCGTTAACTTTTGTGGTAATCACTGGTATATGACTGGGGTGACGTCCCTGATGTATGTTTATAAAACCTCGATTCAGGCCGTTCGCCAGAAGTGGAGTTATTTGAATGACTGACGTAAGTTTAAGCAGTTTAGAAGCAGTTCATTCGACAGAAGTACAGTCAGTCTGCGTCTGGGAATCTTTGTTAACAGAGCATTAGCTATGTGTCCTCCTCCGAGAACATTTCGTGGATATATTTGGAAAAAAAGTGGTCCGCGTCAGGTTCGATATTTTGCGTTCGTCATTTCCGACATTCTTTCTTACCTGGAAATGAAAGCAAAGTCATTAGCACGTATTAGGAAGAGTCTCTTATATGATGATAAATTATCTATTAAACTGTGATTCCAAGCTCGCTATCCTGATTACATAATTGCATTTACTGTGAATCCCATCATCCTCGACCTCCCCCCGGCCCCAATCACATTCTCTTATCGTTTTTATGTCTATCGAGCCGTTTGCGCGCATTTACCATGACTCTCATCTCTGCTATCGCATGGCGTAAGACTACTTACGTAGCGGTAGGTGTCGTCTGCTGCTGTGTTCACTCTCCGCCAATAAGAGTGCTTTAATTGGATTTGCATTAACCCTATCACATAGCTAAGTTGTTGAAATACAAGATGATATTAAACACTCCAAAGTATTTCACTATTGGAGTAACCATATTTAATTTATTAGAAATAAAATTTCTCTGTTTCAATTATATAATAAGTTAGCTTATTTCAAAGTTAGTGAGGACAATTAATCTACTGGCGCGCATATTTTAAGCAAACCAAATACTCGGACACCCTCAATATGTACTGGCGTTCACGTGGACGAAGGCAAAAACCTGTGTTATCTTGTGTTTGAATTTGGGCCACCAGTTCAGCAATGCTCTGACTAAGTGGATGGAATAACATTTCATGCATACCAGTAAAACGTATCTGTGCATGTATCACATTTGTTGCCCTACCCCCGATGTATAGACACCGCAATTGCTTACGCTAGGTCAAAATATCGCGCTCTCTACATAACCAACACGCCCTTACTGGAATCTTATTGGAAAATAACAGACGTTCCTCGAACCTACACACCAAATACTAGCCATTCACATGAGAGAGAGAGAGAGAGAGAGAAAGGGAGGGCAAGTACCTGCAAGAGAGTGATAGTATAGGTAATTAGAAAACATGCTGATTTAATAAAGGCTACATGCATTTCGTATGAGCAACCTGACACAGAAAGTAATTACACACTCCAGAACTAGTAAACTTTTATATAGACTCATTCTCAGGACAATATGAGTTCCCACATAAATCGGCAAACAATCGTTATTAATGGATTTGATTAGTGTAATTTCTTCAATTATAACGAATGGTTCTTATAATTATTCAGAGAGCCCCTATGACAGGTGAAGAAAAGCCTACACACTTGAAGCTGTAAACTCTGGTTACTCAAGCCATCTTCAAGATACACGAATCTTCGCCATTTCAAAAATAACGGTAATTTGAAAATGCCATGACAGGTACACGCAACGAATAGGGTGGTATACCTGCAGTTGACCTAATGGGTTGACGTGTAGAGCTACCCCTTGCCACGTTACCACCCCATCAACAACAGATGAACCAAGTGTCTGGTCAAACAACTATAGCGATCTTTAGCACACAGTGTGACAAAGATTAATACTCGAACTGTGTTGTCAGCCTTGCTGAACTTCATTGCCTATTACTACGCTTGACGTTGAAACGGGAAGGAAAGACAAATGGGTAACTTGAAGAGTTCCCCTGTGGGTTCTGCTCTAAGTACCAAACATTTAAAAAACCCTTATGGATCATTAACTTCAAACCCACAACAAGAAATTATTGACAATATCATATAAGCATTTTTCTTTTGATCACTTTGCGCGATTTATACGCATTTTCTGTTGATATGATGATCTCTGTTGGAAGTTATCGGATGAAGAGGCGGTGCGAGGAACTTACGCGCTTCCTTTCTAAATTTTTCGTCCGCCATCAACCAACTATACAGTTCTTACTGACCATCATTTTAACAAGTTCCAAAGTCGAAAATAAACTATACATGTACATATATTTTTCGAAAAGTATTTGTCCCTTGCATGCCCTACTCATGCCCTACTCATTCATGGTTCCTCCTCGCGTGTCTTCACCCATGTGAACTGTGACATGTATAATATGCATTTTCTAGTTGTCAAAATGAGCCCAGACACAACAGTAGTGACAATTATTAGGCGCTGGGGGGTTCAACAGACACGTGTAACTTAATTGCAGTCCATTTCAAAATAATAACGATAACTGTAATTCGAAAGGCCAGTCCCACATCATGGCATTGATATGCTGAAACACGAGGAGCCATAAGATACAACAAACGACTTTTACGACATACCTCCAGTACTTGACGATCCCCAGTCTAGTTATTTATTACTATGGCCCAACATAATGTGGATCCTAGAGTTTAAACACAGAAAAACCGTATGGAAATAGTAATAAGTTTAAAGACCCTCTATAGAATGGGCCAGACCTAGTGAGCGGTTAACTACATACCTTGTATTTTCAGTTTGTGTAAAATGTAAAAAATTCATTTTTGTAGATTTAAATAACCCATCTAATTTAAAAGGGCGACACATGCTTTTGGACATGAGTAAAGAAAAGGTGACGAGAAAATGGAAGTATTTATTTATATGCAAATTGCGTATACCTTCTATTTAAGTTCTAAAAATTTTACGCCAAATTTTACACACCATTAATATTTCCAGTTTGTAAGATAAGTAACTGTCTCCGCAGAAAAGCCTTATATCGACAAAAATCAATTTGCTATTCAGCTATGGATCATTACAATGACAGCGGTAATGTTAATCGAAGTAAAAGAAAAAAGAAAAGATTAATGACTATGTACCGTAGAAGCCCGAGCACTTCTAATAGCACATATGTTTTCAAGTAACGTATCAGTATCTCACAATGAAAACATTCTCTGAAACTTATCAGTCTTCTTTTGTATTGCAGACAGGCTATTGTGTCAGCTAGCCGTCGGTGTTTTTTTTTTTTTTTTTTTTTTGTACTAGTGCTCACCCTACCAGTAACCCGTGAACTACACGGGTGCCATCTATACTGGCAGATGTATACTACAGAAAAGTCGTTCCTTTTTATAAGATAAACTGAACCCAAATTAGGTTAAGCAGAAAAAAACAGGACTTACTCAAAGTTACAAAATGAATTCATGTTGACCCCATTTCCGTAAAATAACTTTAGTGAAAACAAATAGAGGACATACATGTAATTTTACGCAGCAAAGCACTTCTTGAGATTTATTCTTAAGCAGTTACTCAATGTTTTTCCATAATGTACCATTAAAACAAGTGAATGATCAAAGGGCTATGAGAATTCCATATACATATATCATTTGGAAACCCTCCACATGTCAAAATGATCTATCAACTTGGCAAATTTATAGATCTGTGTAATCTTTGGAATTAAGTTAGCGGACAGTGATCAAATCTATAACCATTTATAACCTTTCTGCTGTGAATATAATGGTATCAAGAGAGTTCGATTAATTAAATTAGTTGAACTTTATATTGCCTGAAGGTGATAATCAAATATCACTTACTCACGGCCCATTACTCATGGCTTGTTGGATGGCTACGACATTCTACAATTAAATGTACTTGTTGAGTCTGTCCACGTATTAGAGCAAGTGCTGGGTACCATGACTAAAAGACATGTTGTCGGCTATATATTATGTGAAAGAGTTCTATTATGGGTCTGCCTTGTTATTTCTTATAGGTTCTTAGATCACCTGTGCTTGTGCACGTTTAATCATGATCTCCTAATACTAAAAAAAATGAAATGTTTTTAAAACTGTCAACTGTAAAATTTTCTGCTCAGCTTTGTTGAATATCTGCATATTACCATTCCTGATTTTAAGCCAGAATCGAATAGATAGTTTTTAGAGCGGTAAAATATCCTGATAGATTATGTCGACCGAACGGCAGAAATGGGACGTTTCTTCAAAGCTTAAGTGGAATTAGAAGCAAAGATTTTTGATGATAGGTTCTTATAATTGAGTTCACATTATGGATCATAATAATCTATGAAGGCCTATAAATTTTTTGTTAGAAAGAAATCAATACATCTGCCTTAGTTGACTCTTTTTGATGCTAGGGTGCTTTTTGTTGTTTTTTAATAATATGAAGTGTAATTTTCTATCTCGAAATATTGTGAAACTAAAAGAGTAATAATAAGGTGATTTTAAGAATCTGTAGTTGACATTTTCCAATGTTACGGCGTTGCTTTTCAGATCTAGTTTATACATGATCTTTTCAAATCTAGTCTACAGTCTATAGGATTGTCAAAACAGCCATTCTCAGCAGCACTTTCCAATAAAGCTCATATTGCTATTCATCTTAATTACTAAAGAATGAAATCTGTTACATAGACTCACACACTTTGTGCATAGAAAAAAACGGACGAGCAGATTGCCCTAAACATTTTAGTCGACTCCCAAATCGTCCATCACTGTATATTTGCAAGTTGCTAAAAGCAGATGGCGGTTTGACAGTTGAAATGTGATGTACCATATTGTAAAATACCATCATACATGTACAAAGCTGTTGGTAACATGTTTTTAGCGTACTAATGAAAATTTGATTATATATAATGAGTGATAGATATGAAAATAATGATAGTGACGAGTGTGTCGTGCCATTTTTATTTTCGGATTTCTGGAGGCATTTCTTTTGGAAAAAGTGACATGAAGTCTTGAATCTAGTAAGACTTATGTTAAAATATTGTCTTGTTAAACCAGAAAGTTGTATAGGTACATTACAAACACCAATTCGCATATGCAAATAAGAGTAACTATATTACAAACGCGTGGAGACCATGACGCACAATTTTTCTTAATTCAGTTTTGGTGTTCCAAATCCCTAACGAAAAAAAAGGCGCCAACATATCTTCGCTATTCTTAATAAATATAGAATAATTATAGAGAAAGAAAGAAAGCGTACTGACGAGCGTGTTATGGGTGTCTTAGTAAGGAAGCTTGATTAAACAGACAGGTTCAATAAGAATTACGCACCGATAGGTCCTGCGCGCATCGTGAGACGCTAATCGCACGCAAATGTATACTGATAACTATCAAAACGTTTTCTACGGGGGAAAGACTCCAATATCAAGATCAGCAATCAGTAATAAATATACACTAAGGGATCTGTTTCATTTTGAGAGTCAGTGCTGATCTGTTTTATCGTACTTCTCTCCCCTGACAGGGTCAACTCGCCGAATATTAATACAGTTTACGTAAATATCCCGTGACTTTTGACAAGGATATTTGCAAGGGCACGTTCTTTAGTGACAGTTTGTTTTCACTGGGAAAGACCTGCCGTTCTAATTTAAGTGGTTCATTCACAACAATTTTTCAATGAAGTATAAAATATAGGAAGAATGCAGAATCACTTTATAAGTGGGCATACCTCATGCCTGCCAAGGGTTATTTTGGGATCACCAAAATTGGTGAGACAGATATTTGTGCTTAAATTCCGTCCACGACATTTTGTAGGCCGCTAGTATACATTGCTTGTTTGCAAGACATGTCAAGTTTCTACACTTAGATCCGAAAGCAGATCCATCTGCATGTATTTATTACTTATGGGATAGTTAGATTGGACTATTGCAGAGCCTAACCCTAGTTTAGACGGTTTTCTGTTAAGTATGTATGACCCTACCTTTTTTAATGGTTAATTACATTTTTGTCACGGCTGACCTTCAGTTGTCTGCAGAGATGATTGTATTTACAATACAAATCTAATTAAATATCATGCATAGATGTGAACAGTTAACAAAAACAGTGTAACTTGTGCAAGTACCAGAAGTTCGTTTACACCAAGCAATGAACAAAAGCACACCCATTATGCTGGTATTGTTATCTTCTGAACATTTTGAAGAGATAATGATCTTTTTTTCTGGCAGCCCAGAAAAAAAATCCCTTTGTGACATTATCCTATATGTTATTAATCACTATCGCACCATTACAACCATATTAAGCGAGGATCACCAGAGGTTAAGTGGTGTTAATTGTCATAAAAATAAACGGGGGTCAGTGACAATTAAGTCGGTGGCAACGGTTCCCTTGTTTATCAGTCTTGCACGCAATTTGGCAGTAAACTGACATGTTTTTAGATTGTTTTGACGGATGGATTTTATCACCGTATCACTCAGTTATCGAGTACATTTGCAGTCGGTAAGGTACAGTTGAAGGAATGCCTTGACTAACCTTTGAGCAGGGCCTCGCTGAATTCTGGCCAGGACCGTTGACCTTAATGTCATCATTTTGCGTCTTAGTCAAAAGCCAACAAATTTCGATTTGCTCTAATCATTTTCTGGTGTATCTCGAGTTCGCGCTTTCCTCCCTCCGTTTCTGTAACACATTCCTATCTAACCTCTAACAATACCAAAGCAACTGGCAGCCAGGCAACAGTTCTAATTACTTTTGCGGAGTAAAATGGCGAAGGTTTAAGGAAACGCCACTAAACCACATGTACATACGGTTTCCAATGCCACCGAATTGAACAGAGTGGAAAATATCCCCGCGGTGTGCAATTTGCAGGAAAACCAAACCCGCCAACTTTGATAAATTAGAATTCTAGGCTGAATCGAGGAGATAAAGAACATCTGAAGCGCCTACAGGATAAACATGTCGTAATTGACACGAAACCCAATTGTGCTGTGGGAGTTTGCTGTTATTTAACCATATATAAGGTCATAAAAAAAACGTTGGGGGTATTTGTTGTGCTCATCGATTTTGGTACATCTACCTCATCCGATTGGTGATTACTGACAAGCATTAGACTACGAAGAATGACTGCAGCTGATTATCTACGAATTTGTCTCTAAACACTGTGCTGTAAAAATTCTACAATATCATAAAACCTGGATAAAGAATATTCAACTGTTTGCTTATATATTTCACCTGACATAAAAATCCCCTGTAATCCGACAGCAAAAAGACAATAAATGCCTTACTCACTGAGCTTCTGGACCAGCAAGACCCTTCCATCCAAACTTATTAGCTAGAAAAACCACTTCGACGCCAATCAGATTCCGTCCCTGTAATTTGGCAGAAAAATCCACAACTTCCTTTAGCGCCACTCATATCATTTCCAACAAATAAGTTGATATAATGATCTTATAAACATTTCCTTTGTCATGAATTGGACATATTTAGGCAATCAACGACCACTGTTCATTAACAAGTCTTTCGCACGATATTCATATGCTTAGATTTGACTGAACAAACGCTATCACTTATGGTTCTGTTTCCTGCCCAGCATCGACGTGTCCACAAAGGCTACCTCTGCCAACACGAATCGTACAACGTGGTCATAGGCGCAAAATCCGCCAAACCTCTTAAAAATAATTTAGTCCAAATTTACTATCAATAGATAATTCCTTTCTTAGCAAAATCTTTCAAAATCAAGAATTATTTCTTGTGCAATATCGTGTAATATTCATTTCTAAAAATAAATGCCTATGCCTTCGGAGTTGTTCCCCAAAATGCTGCCATTCACATTTGATTCAATAACCTGCCAAAATCGACCAGTCTAACTCACTTAAGGTGACATTCTACTGTATCAACAGAACTATTCAAAGCCAAATGAATAATACCAACCAGTGTTAATGGCATGCCTTTTGGGGTTTTGGGATATCAAACAGTCAACGGACCAACAAAAAGTCAACCAACTCGTCCTTGAATGAGAGCAATTACTGTGACGGCATAGTCCCCAAAATGTTTTAGATACAGATGCATCTGTCTAACAGTTATCTTCAAAGCAAAACCAGCATAGCTTATAACCTTTCCTTTATTTCTATATGAGTAAGGCTAATGCCAAAGAGCCAACTTTACTTGAGAGCCAAGCGGAAACGCAAGAAACTCTTTTTCGAAAGTCGTGCGCTCGAAAATATAAATTCGTAAAGATAAAATAGGTTGAGCGCTATAGATAATAGGGCCTACTTTTGTATTATTACCACAGATGAAAAGTCAGTATGCCAGAATGGAAATAATCAGTCATGTGAGAAAACAGAACTTGCGAGAATCTACGAGGTGGGGCTTTTTTTTAACCCTTTGTGCAATACAAAAGTACATACAGGGAGGCTGATATCACCCTATGCGCGGTGATATTAGCGTAGTGATGTCAGCGTATTCTATTCAAAATTAAGGGTTTTGGGTGGAAAACATGTACGATTTCTTTGTATTTATGACATGCAATGCACTGCTGCATGTAGGCCTACCTCGCTATCGCTCGGCATGCTACCGTGTACATGTATATTGGGCTCGTGGGCAGTGCCTCATTTAGTACGTACAGGTAACACGCAAAACATAGTGATATGCAGTGTTGTGCAAAAAATGTAACCTTGTTAGCTTTTACCTTAGATTTTGTCGCGTATATTTAAATAATTAAAACAATGGCCTGCATGTTTAACATATGAAGATCTGTAATGTGTAAATAATTCACACACAACTGCCATGCAGGTTTGTCTGTTTCAACTAGTCGGAATGCTACATTCGACTGATATCGATCAGCCAAATTAGTGTAACGTTGACAATCTGTATCTTCATTTTGCGACTGGGCAAAAATCAGTACGAATAAATAATTTCCATCGTGTAACCCAGGGTAGAATGAGTGCTTTATTAATGTCACGCGTATCTCAGACAAAGAGCAATGGGAGTATACATATACATTAGGGAATTGCTAGATGGATAAGGTATAACATCAGATTAGGTTAAAAAATACCTTGGTGCTATAATGCATCCCTTTACAGTTGTAAACTCCTATTATTACAACAGGTTGACGCATCTAAAAGTCCCACTGTCCCCATTTTTTGTCATTGTTTGAGCAATTTTGATGCCCGATGACATTCAATATTGATACTATTATTGCACCTAAGGCTCTGTTCTCACAACTTTTAGATCGATCTATCACCGCGGGGAGTCTCACTAGATTACTGTCAGAGAATCCCCCTTAAGTGTCCGTCCCCGCCTACTACAAGCTTTAAGGGGTAATTAACTTTCGTGTCCGCCCGGCTGACAGCTATTTAGCGTGAACCCCCAGGGAGTTAGGTCGATCCAATGTAGGTCGATCTAATCTATGAGAATGGGGTGTAATTCATTGGACATCGGCTTAGACAATCATTCACACACTTCCAGAAGCACTGTTTCCCAACTGACACACCTGCACCAATAGGGGGCTATTAATTCATGTCATATAGTCAGGGAATAAAGGGTTGCGTTCGACTTGTTTTGTTGCTTAGGCAGTGAGCTCAATTAATTGCAAATGATATCATTTTTCAACTTTCTCTTCTGTTTAACAGTTTTAAGTGAAATGTCATCGGATAATAAATGATGGCTAACGAGGAATTAGTACTTATGTGGAATTTTTGTTATTCTTCCTGCATACGGTAGCATGTTTCATTTTTGTTTATATCGTTTGGCGCAGTGGTGCTTGAAATTTGACGTTTCCTGCTCAATGATATTGTAAGGTGTACAAAGATTTTTTTAAGTACCAAATGATCCAAGGCAGCCACGTCGCGTTTTTGTGGTGTTTCATGTAAAAACACCTGTGCCTAATTACTGAATACCTGTCATTGACGTGCAGAAAAAATAATCTGTGAAAAGCCAACGTTTATTTAAATGGACGTTAAAAATGACCCTCGTAATAGTAGTTCATCTGGAACACGATAAGCTGAGCTATTTACCTACGACAATGGTATTATTAACTGGCAGCCACACTCACTTACATGGTGCAAATGACTTGACAAAATGGAATCCAGATATAAAGACTACTAGCTTGTAGCATATCTTTGTCTTATCTTTGGTTTATCTTTAAATATCTAAAAAAAAAAAAAAAAAAAAAAAAAAAAAAAAAAAAAATTCACAAATCTAGAAAAATTTTGGCAGTACTTCTGATAACATAAAGAAATATACACATTCGCAACTTTGTGTTTATGAATAATTCATCAGTATAGTGGCATTGACTGATGCGGGTAAATTGCTGTAGTTCAGGAATCTTGGCTCATTGTGATCTAGAAATTTAAGGCACTGCCACTAGCAAGAGATCTACACTTAGTTCACTTACACGAAATGTCACTGCGCCATTGTCACGATGATCGATTCATTCGTCTGACTTCACTTCATTTTGGACAACATTTCAAAGACAGGTTAACAAGGTTATACTGCATCTGAAACAAACGGCTTGTCGGAGAGCATTTATTCGACTTTACATTGTTCATACTATAAATTAATGGTTTTAATTCGTGAGGCATGGTGGTTATCAAAGTGGATGTTCGTCACGAGTTTGAACCAGGCTCTTGTAATGTTACATGAAAATTCTAGGCAATAATACTGATAAACATACAGACATAGAAACATAAAAAAGGATTGACAATTGAAAAGTCATGGCAATTTTAAAAACCCATCAGTACTTTTCATCCAATTCATTTTTTCATTCGCCCGATCGTTATTGTGTATCTGTGTTCAAGGAAGAATTGACGGAATTCCTATTTCTCATATAACAAAATATGTCGGGTTGTTTCATTAAATGATCGTAACTTGCATTACCTGGATTTAAAAATTAAATAAAAAGTTCAATTAAAACAGAATATAGTTTGGAAGTTATGATGTGAACGATTAAAAATACCTGCAAAAACTACAAAATGTGTATTAAAATTTTAGAAACATCACCGATTATAAAACTTAATATATATTTTAACCACACAAAACACCACATAAATTCATACTTGGAAAAACAACAAAATGAGTATTCATATTGCCAAAAAAAAAAGAGCAAAAATCTTTGTGAGGCCTTTTTACGCCAAATGTTACTTGTTGCAATACTTTTTTGATTGTTTTGGAAAGTTCCGTACAGGTCTTAACTCCTATAGCCAGGCGACCGATGGAGAAAGATGAAGACCAAGAGAGACACCATCTTCAAAGACTTTATTGCTTACCTGAGACTGATTGCGAAATTTGGCAAAAACCCGTTCTCCACGCGATCGCGAGCCCGATGTAAATGCGATTTAGGTAGCAATTTCCTGTTTGGTGAAAACTCTGTTACATGTACACACACTGGACAATAGAAGTGTCACCCCTACTGAACCAATACTTTGGGGGAGATAAATGAATGTGGAATGATATGCTCCTGGTATCATTTTATTAACATCAAATTTCACAAAACGACCAACAATACAATTCCATGGTACAGCGGTTTTATACTCATTAGTCACATTATAAGTAGACATTATAACTTTGATTACTCTGCTTCACTCTTTCATACTTCTATTGTGCAGTGTGTGTATGTGATGAAGGCAGAGAAAACACTCTTGTTTCAACTTTTTGTACATTTATACCGGTAGTTTTAAAAACCAATTAAATCCAGCAGCGACCTCTAACGGTCAGTATAAATGGGGCTAGTTTTGTTTGGATTTCCGACCTGCATCAATTTTATACAAATTATACTGAAAGTGAAGTTCATATTCCAATTAAGCATCTAATTTCGCCGATTAAAGACCACACACCTGTGCTTAATTATGGTACGTGATAACGTCTATAGCAGCTAGTTCTTGGTGAATGAATTCTCAAATCAATAGTAGAAGTACTACATGTAGAAACCATGTGCAGAAGACAAGTATTTAGAAAAAGTTTTCTTCTTTATATGTCTATATTCTTTAAAAATCTAGTTATGGCTCCCTCTGTTTTTCGCTGCAGAATGAAAACAATACCCACACAAAGTGTAAACAGACACGCCTCTCAACTACTAAATGGTGACATTTTCTTAACAGCCACTTATTTAAGTAAGTGACACATGATATAATTCAAATGCATCGCAAAAGTTTAAGTCACACAGTGTATGATAGACCTTTATGCATGTATATCAACATTTTATATTTCCCGTATAGGGGATGGAGACTGCTGTTTTCACCCGTAAAGGTAAAAATTATGAGCTAGAAATCGAAATTAAAAGTGTTGGATGGCATATGTTTTGGCAAAAAGGGAACATTGCTGAATGTCAGAGAATTTTTTCTGGATCTATGCCTTTAATTTTTGTTTTTGTGCTGGGATTATTAATGCCTTTTTACCATCCTGGATTCACCACTGCTAAGATTACATATAAACGTGTACATTCCTCACAGGAAAACGAAGCATTCGACTGAGCTATTTCAATACTGCTTTTTGTGGTTTTAAAGGAAAAAAGTTACGAAATTAATAAACCTGGCGTATGAGCATGTTAAGCCATTATAATGCACGGCCAATATCTAAATTATCGCAGTACGCTAGACATACTAAAATGAAGCCGTGTATGTGTTCATGTACAGCGCGACACTGGAATATTCATACATACTGTAAGTTAACCAAAACTGGTGTTACTCGATTTCAAATAGAACATATTGTAACTACCATCAAAACTTTCTTGTTACTATAGCTGACCGATCAAATCTAAAAGACTGGTGCGTCTTCAGTGTTGTAGTAACTTGATTACAACGATGAATCGCACAGTAGAATACTAAATTATCAGAGCCCATCTACGTAACAATCCGTTCAACCCGCCACACGCGCGCATACCTTGTACATGTAATGCTTCAAGCCGCGCTGGTTACTTTCATCTGTCTCCCATTTCTTGTCTTGATGCAGTCTCATAAAGGACTATACTTTACCCAGGTGCGACACATTTTATCCGCACTGGTCAATGACGTAACGTAATGTTTTCCATAAATCAATTATTTTCAGTAATCGTCGTCTATTGGCGCAAAATGCCATGCGCACGGTGGTGGCCGCTGTTTATATGTGGCGTTTATGCAATTCTCTTATCAACTCTAAAACAATACAGGTACCTGCATTTATGGTACGTCTTGTCCAAGAGCATGCATGACACACTTTAATAACCTAAAGTCATCGACACAGCACCTTCATGAAGGTGTGTCAACAAACACTAATTACACATTAAAGGTGTTAAGTACATTTGTACTTGTGTACGAGCTTGGGATGAGACATTCCTTTTATGAATGTTCATAAGTGTTGTTAACAATTAAACTAATCAGCTTCTTAGAAAAATAGGCATTATCCTGTATTTCAGAGATGTACTTTAAAACAAGGCATATTATGTATCAAGATATACTTACTATTTAAATGATTTTAGTATCCTGAAGTTCACAGTCTGATATTGAAGGTCCCATGTCCGCACACAGACTTGTTCCCGCCAGTTGACGACATGTGTGTACCTGAGCTCTAATTTATAATCACCTGGACTGAAAAATATACTCTGCTAACATGAAAATTATCAGTTCATCATGTTATTTATTTCTTGTCAAGCACAGAGATGAAGAAAAACATGGACTGCACAAGTGTCCCTCCTATTCATAATTTCAGAGCAATGTGCTTGGTTTTTGTTTTCTATCGAATGTTTTTTCAATTAAGGGAGAGCGACGCTTAGCTGACAAAATTGTCTACAAATATCCCACATCCAGGGTAGCCACCCTCACAACATACATGTATATATAAAAGGTGTATATATAAATTGCGCCTACAGCAGCTTTTATCATCGATCTTGATTTACTAATGGGCGACCGACAGTTCCGCTACATTTACTATTTTGTATGCAAAACTTACCGCGTACTTCTTGCTTTTATCACCGACTTACAACAAATGCTGTTTACAACTCCACAGCAATGTATACAGCTTGCATTGTGCTACACTGCATCGTGTCAATGTCACAATTACTGCATTAGTCCCCATGAAAGAATAATTGTGTCTACAGAGTTATTTAACTAACGGAAATACTCTGCACGGTGTCGAGCACACTTACCTTAACAGATATTCATGTATTTAACTTGGGAGTTTCTTCTCCTCCGTTAATGTTCCGCACTGAGTTCTTAATTACCATAGATATATGACAAACTGGTCGAACTGGGGATGGCCGGTGCATTAAAGCATACGATCATTACATGTGCATGGTACTGCTTCCATTGATCCTTCCGAATACTATGCGCAATCCGAGCCGGCTTTAACGATGGTTGGTTCTTTTGACCTTTTAAACCGAGCATTTGTAAATATTAGAATTATAATTCACGACCAAAAGGCAAACTGGTGGACAGGGCGCAGACGGGTCGAAGGGGCTACTTCAACGATGTATTACTGTATTGTTTACTGGTACATGACGGGAGGGTACAAAAACGTCTACTGGTACATAAACACCCCAATTACTTAACAACGGAAAAAATCTATTGATATATTGAAAGATGATGTGGTCTATCGAAATTATAATTTATCAATTTCACTATTATATACATTACATAACTTACACAATAAACAGTTTATAAAATTATTTAACATCAATTTAGTATCAACAAATATTTGATTGCGGTACCCTGAGAAAAGAAAGATACCGTGTTTTGGAAAAACATTGTGTCAATACCACACATTAAAACATAGCTTTAAAAACTTGTTCCAAGCAAACCACTTATTCCCTGCGTATATACAATTTTACAGTTAATATATTCTCGCAGCTGTTAGGATGGGTGAAAACATCAAAACGACAAGCTGCAGTTTTACTCCAAATTTGCTGTTTATACTTACAGCTATTAATAGAAAATAATCGCTTAAAACCACGATTAGTCAAATTCCCTCTATAACTTTTTTGAAACAATTAATTTAAGTTTTCATTCTGAATATAAATTCCTTTTCCTCCCCCCTTACCCTCCTCCCCTACCCACCAATTGAATACCGGTGTGACAGTCTTGGGAGTCCTAGGAATGGAAGTCTAGGCTCCCATATGATTAGTACAGGTTAGGGTTAATCGGAGTATTGGAGTCAGTGGGACAAATGTCACCCGTACAAAGTAATGGGAAGCCGACTACAGTTCCCAGCGGATTTCCATTCCTTTTACACCGGTACCTTATTACGGGAGGCAAAAAAAAATTTGAAGATGTTCACACGTGTTATGACATTTGGAACGACTGCTTGGTGTGTAGCGACATGAAGCTTTCGGGGCTTAGCTTCGTCCAGCACCAATGGTCTTTGTATTATACAAATACGAACATAAATATGACCATATGAAAGAGTGGTATCTTAATCAGGGGCGGATTTAGGCCGTCTTCTGGGTCTTCCGGAAGACGGTCAGATTTTCAAGTTTACATTGACGGGTATTTAATTTTTTCTGTCGGAAGACGGTCAAAAATGTAGGATGGATCGACAAAGATAATTTGGAAGACTGTCAGAAAATATATCTGGATCCGCCCCTGTTAATCTTACCACATCCTTGGACATAATAACGTAATTTTGTCCATGCCACATCCCAAATGACAAATGATTGTGCGTGTATCTGCAGTGCACACGTGTACCAGGTGACAGTTATTGTACTTAAATACTAGTTTCTTTAAAGGACTGAAGTGAATTCCACCATTGCGCAGCGCACAACCAAGCAAACACCGAACGCTTTATAATGTTACCATAATGTTCCTATGGCAACGTTATAATAACGCTCTGTGTTTGTTGGGAATCTAGCCACTGATTTTTGATTGATTTTGGACCATCATTACTTTGGACCATTATTATCCTCGAAAAAAAATGTTCTTCTCACGAACCATTAGTGGGTTCGATTCTCTCTATACCGAGTATATATACAGTAGGCCTATATATATTCATTTCAACACACATTAATAGTTGGATTGTAAAATGTACTATGGTTATCGCTGTCTTGGGAAAGATAAGATTATATTACATGATATGGACACTTTCAAACGCGGATAGGCCTATTTATTTTTAATGCACGTTAACAAAATTAGTTTTGAAAATGTGGTATCCGCGTCAAAATGCCTTCCTATGGACACCGATTTTAATCTTTCACTTGGTGTATTTTCATTTCAAACGTGTTCGAGAGACTTATATATTTTTAAAAGCATCTTTCACAACTACTTATTTATTTGACATTGCACTTTAACGTCCTCGAGTTAATCTACCTGGCAAGTGGATTTCGCGTTCTTAGTTATGTACTTGAACTTGCCTCGCGCTCTCGAAGCTACTCTTCTTGTGGGCTTTAGTCTACATTAGGTTGCAATTATGGTGCATGGTTCTTACGTTTACCGAAATATTATGTTTATTTAAGTAGGCCTACAAGTAAATAGCTATAATGTAAACGTGGATTTTGTGTGCATAACGAACGCATTCACTGCTTATTTTAATCATAGAACGTCTATGGGTGTATTCCCAGAGATTTAGATCGACCTAACTCCCTGGGGGTTCACGCTAAATTGCTGTCAACCAGTGCGCACCATAGTGCCCCTTACAGCTTTTAGTAGGCGGGACAGACGCTTAAGCCGGCTAAGCTGACAGTAATCTAGTGAGACTCCCCACAGGGATAGATCGATCTAAAATCTATGGGAATGGGGTCTATGTTTCAATGAAGATGGAATAGTGTAGTGAAATTGTGCTAGTTGTGCTGCAATCCGACAATGTGTTGGCTGTCTACTCCAAACACGGAGCAAATAAGCCTCTGCACAACGTTACCTCATCGCGTGCAAGTTAATTGGTCACTGCTGGTAAGTAGCACTACTTCATATATATATATATATAGGCCTATATACTTTTCTTGCTATAAGACTAAGCAGTATGATCCAAATATTGCTGTTGTCCTTTATCCTCATCTGCCTCTGCAAGCCTAATACCCGATATATGCGTGTCATCCTGACAATTCCAGCTGGTTTTAACTTTAAATAAATGCCAGCCCTCATTACACTAACTAAAATGCATAAGAAAAACTAAATGTTTCAGATGTGTATACCGTCAAGGTTAAACTAAATCCTTGTGTTTTGAAGGCGTTTGTTTGTGACCTCCTAGCCAGCAAAGCAGAGGTGCTTGCTGTAACTGTGTTACAGCGGAAATGGCGTGTTTGACCTATTTTTAGTACAATAAAATGAAGGGTAATGCGTATAAATAGAGGCAGAGTCCAGCAGTAATTGGTATATGTATATTTTTTTACAAGAAAAATACTATTACAATGCAAAAAAGAGAGAATTTACATTACAAATCTGGTGTGGAATGAGAAAGCTGGATTTTTAGTTTATATTATACAAACTAACTCTCCTCTGTAAGAATCCGACATGGTCTAGTGGTTAGGATATCTGGCTCTCACCCAGGTGGCCCGGGTTCGATTCCCGGTGTCGGAAATTAAATTTTTCTTCTAGTTATTTATTGATTTCAACGGTATCATTTAGATAGATGGTGTTCTTGAAAAAATATTATAATATTAATCATATTAAAAGAAGATGGAATGTGTAATAGGTAAAGCAAAGAATACTTACTATCTTGCACCTCCTTGGGTAAAGGTAGTGGATAAAAAAATGACAATTTGAAAGTTACTCTATGAATCATGGTATATCTGGAGAAAGTATTTTTGCCAACAGGTTTAAATATAAAACCGTAAAACAATAGAAATCAATATCTCATTCTGTGTAATCATGAAACATTATATAATACATGGCGTAATCCATGGTCTTTGAAGAGTCAGTGTGAAAGAGACATATATACCAATGTTATGTAACTATCAATCAGACAACTTTCCATTTGTAACAGAAACATGCAAATATGTTTAATTAGGTGACAAACAAGATGTAGTTCTAGGCTAATAAATGTTCCACACTTAATAGCTTTCAGTTGTGCCTTTACCCTTAAATAGTCTCAATTTAAATTACGTAATTAAGTACCATTAAACTTGTTAGATAAAAGATTATAATTTTAAATGCTACCAAATTTTACAATTATACACAGTTGGAAAAGGGATAATAGTAATGTTAGTGAGATATTTCATTCAGAATTCTTTATTATTAACATATTTTTCATTCAGAAACTCTACAATGACAACATTTAAGGAGGTATATGGTCTTGTATACATGTCAAAGTGCAAACATAATCCTTCCTTGCAATTATGTATCACTATTGTGTGTTATAAGCACTATTGTGTTTTAAGCAAAGCAATTATAACACTTAAATACTCTATAACATTGCATGTGGACACTACATATCGTTGCAGACACTACAAATGGTATGTTTATTGCAAAATAGAGAAGTGTTAAGATAACAAACAAACCCTTCAATGATATATATATATATATATATATATATATATATATATATATATATATATATATATATATATTAGTGAATTATCAATATTTAATGATTTACCAACACCAAAACAATAAATATTGGCTTAATTAAGTTTCACAATTACTTTATAAAATTGAAATTATGTGACTAGTAAATTAAACCTACATGAAAAAGAAGGAATGTATCTATCGAAAGATAGAGTCTATATAAAATGTAATAGATTCGCAACTTCTCAGCAGAGTTGCTCCAAACAACCGGTATATAAAAGAAAAGAATTGTGAGCATAAAGATACCTAGTTAATTCTAAGATAATTTATATGTTTTCATTAAAAGAAAGTAAATCCTTTTATTGCAGGTTGCAAAACAGGGTACGTACGAAAAAAAAATTTAGTCCCAAAATATTACACGTCCCTATACTCCTGTTCCCGATAGATACATAAAGGGAAAACTGAAAAAACGTCTTTTTAGATTTAAATACCGATAGATCCGATTTTTTACCACCGTCCTATAAATTTGCGTTCCTATAGATACGACGTCCTCATAAACCCACGTCCTTTAAATCCGCATACCTATAGATCCACGTATTTTTAGATCCAAATACCGATAGATCCATTACAGGTACACTATTGCTCTTTTCGGGCGTAAAAAATTACGTATTTGGCACTGCCACAATTATTCAATTTTAGCTTCTAAAATTACTTCATTTCATTTTATTAGAAGGATTCACAATAAAAGCGGCCGGCATCGGCCAAATTTCGAACATCATACTTGTGTTTGTCACTTTAATGTTTTTTTCCGATACCGTATTGAACTTTTTTTCGATCAAGGAGACATAAATGGTTGGAATACTACTCAGTACATAAAATGCACTGTTTAAAACGAGAGTACACATATTAATCCTTTCAGCAATTTATTATTCTACTATAGATCGTTTTTACGCAATACTCGGGTAATTTACATTAGGCCTACTAATGCATTATTTGACAGAAATTTATGATTTCACTAGATGTTTTGTTATTTTCATGTTACATTCATTTAGTTTTGATTACGAAGGCTTCTGACAGGAACCTAAGATTATATATTTTTTCATAGCGATTAATCCAAGAAAACACACACACACACACACACACACACACACACCACCCCCGTCAATTAAGAACTCTGCAAAAGTTGATGAAATAATGTTAAGAGTTTTACAAGTAAACCCTTCTTATTTTATAGGCCTACTGTGTATGATTTATTTGGGCATTTCATGAATGATTCTGCCTGATAACTGTCTTGTATAGGCCTACTTGATAGAAACCATTAGGCTATTGTATGGTTGACAAACATACCCAAAGTTTGCAGGCAAAAATCGGCTGTAGGCCTTATATATAGGGCCTATATATAGAAGTTACTTACATCTTGGACATAATAACGAATTTGTGTCGTTTTTATGTCCAAGTAGTATACATTGATGAAGTTACGTGCGTAGGCTACATTGCGGAATGGAGTAAATGATAGTAAACGATAGTAAAGACGTGTAGACGCGAACGTACATGTAGGCCTATGTCTTGTTTGAACACCTAATAAATATATAAATAAATAAATAAATATCAGGTTATAATTAAGTCATCTCACTGAGTGGATCAGTACTCGCATCCAGACTGTCTCTCGAAAGCCTCATACCTGTATCTCAAGTTTATATCGGCATTTTAGCCGATTAATTACGATGTCAGATAGATGGATCTAGCGGTAGGCCTACCTGGATCTAAAGATACTTGGGTTTATAGGAAACTGTTGGTGGATCTATCGGAACGTAAATTTAACGAGACGTAAATCTATTGAGACGTGTATGTATAGAGACGTATCTATCGGGACGAATATTTTATTGGGACGTTTATCTATACGGTGGACCCCGCAAAACATGCTCATGCATAACATGAAAAAAGCAATGCAAAACCAGTTGTAGTTGACATAGATCTGCTACTTGAAGTTGTGCAGTGCCTCTTTTTGCATTCCACATTTTAAACCTAGCATCCTTGGAGGTGTAACAAATGTAGATAACACAATAGGTCATTATTTTTGGCTGATGCAATTGTATAACATGGATGATAGAAAAAAAAACACCTGATCTTGATTTGTATGCATGTTATTTTGGAGGATATTGACATTTGGGTTTTAAATTATGTATTATAACGATTACTGACAATTGCCTTCAGTCATTATTGTAGGGGATGTGTCCTACCCATTACTTGGCCAATAAGCATTATACCAATAAAGAAACCACGCAACCATTTGAGTGGAACAGTAATGAATACTAAAACTGTAACTGCTTAACTTTACAACATTAGATAACATATAAAGTTTTCATGATAGACTTAGCCAATTATATGTATTACACAATCCTACATTTTCCTTTTATCATTCTTCATTTCAAAAAATACTACCACATGGCTCCTAACATTGCCATTATCATCAAAAGTCTATTGGTACCGAAATGAAGGTTACCATTGTTCTGCTTTGGGTTCATGGTCGTAGTCACACCATAAAATGGAGGCAAGGAACCCTGGTGGGTGGTGCTCGGACCACAGGAAGGAAATAATCTGGAGCGTATACCCACTGGTCCTCCAGATATCTCCAACTGTACATTGTGCAGAGCATGTTCCATCCATGCTTGTACTTGGTTGAAAATGTTGCGACTTTCCTCGTAATGGGCCAGCCTCATGCGGATAGTCACAAGGGTTACAACACTGAAGGTGATGGACGTGTTCTTCGCACTGTGTTTCAGATTACAGGATAAAATTCGTGCTTGCACAGCTCTCAGTACAGCTCCCAACTGTCTATCACGTATGATATCATAACAGCCATCCCTTGATTTTGGAAACCAGCCACAGGGCTCAAAATATAAGATAATAACTGACCGTACCACTGTGAAGTTGTATATAAGGGGGCGACAGCCCTCAGCATCAAGCACAGACCCAGGGGGGCATATTATCTGCTGATCTGCAGGCTGGAAAAAAGAAGACCCCATGCAGATATATATGATATTGGAAAAGTATGCGTTATGGTGGAGCAGTGCAATAAAATCACATATACTTTCAACTTGAACCCACTTGATAATGGGCTCTTTCGGTGGATTTGCATACAATGTAGGTGTGGCTCTTGATGAATTGCACCTATGTCAAAGTTTTTCAAAATTAGATGCCAAATGTCTTTTAAACCCAAGCTAAGAAACATGGGGAAAGTTACTGCAGAAGTTTGATGGAAAGTAATATATCATATATTATATTGGATTTGACCTTTGACCTATATTTCAAGGTCAAATACACCAAAATTTTGTAAAAAATTTAATTTTTTCATTAAAAAAATGTTTGTGTCAATTTTTATGTACAGACACAGATGTGTCTGTTCATACTGTCATCACCTGCGTCACCGTGCACATCATCGCCGT